CATTCAATACAGAAAGAATAGTCTTTTCAAACAACGGTGCTAGGAAAGTAGGATCTCTTGGTGCAAGAGAATGCAATTGGACTCTTAGCTCACACCATATCCAAAAGTGAACTCAAAATGGATCAAAGACATAAATGTAAAAGCTAAAACTATGAAAGTCTTAGAACAAAACATGGGGGAGAATCTTCAGGACATTGAATTTGGCACTGCTTCTTTAGATATAACACCAAAAGCATATGCAACAAAAGAAAAATAGATACACTGAACTTCAGCAAAATTAAAAGTTTTTGTGCATCAAAGGACATTGCCAACAGCGCAAAAAGAAAACCCACAGAATAAGAAAAAATATTTGCAAATCATCTATCTGATAAGGGATTAATATCCAGAATATATACAGAACTCTTACAGCTCAACAGCAAAAAAAAAAAAAAAGACAAAACAAACAAAAAAAAACACCAATTCAAAAATGAGCAAAGGACTAGAAAAGTCATTTCTCCACAGAAAGTATACAAATAGCCAATACACACATGAAGGAAGATATTCAACATCACTAATCATTAGGAAAATGCAAATTATAACCACAATGAGATATCACTTTTCACCCATTAGCATGGCTATTATTTAAAAATGGAAAATAACAGGTATTGGCAAGATTGTGGAGAATTTAGAACTTTTGTGCATTACTGGTGGAAATGTAAAAATGGTACAGCTACTGTAGAAACAAGTTTGGCAGTTCCTCAAAAAGTTAAAAATTGAATCACCATATGATCCAGCAGTTCTACTCCTAGGTAATACACCCAAAAGAATAGAAAGTAGGAACTCCAACACCAATGTTCACAGCAGCATTAATCATAATAGCTAAAATACAGAAACAACCCAATTGTCCATCAATAGATGAATGAATAAACAAAACGTGGAATATACATACAATAAAATATTATTCACCCATAAAATAGTAATGAAATTCTGATATACACTATCACACAGATGGACCTTGAAAACATTATGCTAAGTGAAATAAACCAGATAAATATTTTGTGATTACGCTTATATGAGGTACCTAGTCTAGCCAATGTCATAGAGGTCATAGAGACAGAAAGTAGAAGAGAGTTTACCAGGGGCTGGGAAGATGGGAAAATGGGGAGCTAAAGTTTAACAGGTACAGAGTTTCCCTTGGGGGTGATGAAAAATGTCCTAAAAATGGATAGTGGTAATGGTTATACATCACTGTGAATGCAGGTTAATGCCCCTGAACCATACACTTAAAAATGATTTTTAAAAAAATATTTTTTTTTTAGTTGGAGTCTCACTCTGTCGCCCAGACTGGAGTGCAGTAGCCACTGCAGCCTCGACCTGCTGGGCTCCAGCAATCTTTCTGCCTCAGCCTTCCAAGTAGCTGGAACTATAGGCGTGCGCTACCACACCCAGCTAATTTTTTGATTTATTGTAGAGATGAGGTCTCACCAAGTTGCCCAGGCGGGTCTCGAACCCACGGGCTCAGGCAATCCACTCACCTCAGCCTCCCAAGGCGCGGGATTACAGACTGAGCCACAAAGCCCAGCTGATTAAAATTTTGTTATGTCTATTTGACTACAATAATAAAAAAATTAAAAAAGAAAACATCACTCTATCTGCTGGGAAAAATAGGCTGGAGAGAGAAAACTGCAATCAGAGGAAGCTGGTCTGTAGAGAGAATGGTAGATACACAGGGAAATGGAAAGATGAGAAAGCATAAGGATCAGAGAGACAGAAAGTTGTGCTTGATGGCTCTCCAGGCCAGGGAGTCCCGCTGCACTCCCTGCACTTCACTTCTGTGAGATTCACCCATGTCCTTCCAGTGAGTTACTTTATACTTGAGCTACACTGAGGAGATCTCTGTTCCTTGCAAGAAAACAATCCCCGTTTAAGGCAGGGACACAGAGTGTGAGGCAGGTTTCTAAAGCCAAAGCTCCAAAAAAGCAGAAAAACTGTTTTGTTTCTTCCCCTCCCTCTCAGTGCCTTGCGCAGGGCCTGACACATGGTAGTCCCTCCACAAATATGTGTAGCAGGAAGACAAGGAAACTCTCTCACAAGTCTTTTGAGATCTGGGTAGCCATGCTCTCACTCGCCAAATTTATACTAGATGGAAACCTAGAGAACTAAGCCCCTGAGGTCTGCCCTCATTGCTGATTTGAATGGCTAAGATTAATTCTTCACATGATTTATACCTAACTTGTTCAAGGTCAAGAGAAGCTCATGATAAAATTTCCATTTTATATAATCCCGGGTGCCCTTCTACAAAGTTTGAGCTCCAGTATGCCCAAAACTTACTGGGTTTCCAATAATTTTCTTACACACCAGATGATAGAAAAGTTAAACTCACTTTCTCACACAAAACGGATTTGTAGTTTAATAATACTCTGTTGTTCGGTGGTGAGACAAAACATCGCCTTCCTTTTAAATATCACTGGAGTCAGAATTTCAGGAGCTCTTCAGATAGCAAAAATGGAGCTCTGCTCATTTCATTTTTCTCAACCATACCAACCACCATTGCCTACATCATTTTTAGCATGGGAAACTAAGAAGCAATGTAATTTTACCAAAGGAGGGAAATTGTTACACTGATAATCATTTATTTCTATGTTGGGTTATTATGCACCAATTAAAATGGTAACCCCGAAGACCATATAAGAAGACATTTTCAAAATCAGTTAAGTGAACAAATAAGAATGAAAAATTAAATACACAATTTCATTACAACAATGTAAAAATGAGGTTTGCAGAGGTTTGGAAGGTACCAAAAGGAAATGAAAACAGTTGCTGCAAGGTAAGATTATACATGAAATTTTAAAAATATATTTAAATGTTATCGTATAATTTTTCAAAAAGTCAACTATAAACACACAATCATGGCTCCAAAGGAAAAACCTGAACAAATGAATAGAAGGGCTTTTAGTCGACGAGCTGTCCCATCAGGCCAGGGATGACTGATGCCCAGCCTGGGGTCTTCTAAGCAGGCATTTCTCAAGTGTGATCTTGGAACCACCAACATCAACATCAATGTGGGAACTTGTTAGAAATGCAAACTGGTGGCTAACCCCAGTCCCACTGACTTAGAAACTGTGGGGCTGGATCCCAGCAATGTGTGTTGTAATCAGTCCTCCAGAGGATTCTGATGCCTGCTCAAGTTTGAGAACCACTGCTCTCAAGTACCTTTCCATTCTGATATTCTGTGATTTCTACATGTTTTTAAATAGTCCATCTTTAACATCCACATTATCTTCCCCAAACACCACTCTTGCTGTTTTTAAGAGCTCCCTCCATATTACTTATTAGACCAAGTCCAAAGTCTTCACTTGATAATCAAGGTTCTCCTTTTGCTACTGAATTTAATCCTTACTACAGCTAGTTAACATAAATTGTGTTTATATACTAAGTACATTATGTACATCATCTAATTTAATCCTCATAACAACCCTATAAGATAGATTACATTAATATCCCCATTTTATGGATGAGAAAACTGAGGCCAAAAGAAATCCAAGATAGTACAACTAGTAAATGATGAAACAAGAAAGAAGTCAAGTAGCTTGACTAGTCACATAGATAAGTAGTAGAGCTGGTATGTGAACCTAGGTCTGTCTGATTCCAAATCCTGCCTGTTTTATAACCATGAAGCTCTGTTCAGCATTTGCTCACTGCCTTGGAACACAGCACTGCCAAGAATCGTGCTGTTAGTCCACACCTACTGTCTCTTCTCTTTGCTACCAACCCACATCCTACAGCCCTCTGAGAGGCCTTCCACTCTGCTTCCCTAAGATCCTCAGCCAGAATGGGACACTCCCTCCCTTCTTTGAATTCCCATGGTGCTCTACTTGTGTCTCTCTCACAGTATTTACCAAGTCCCACTCTGAATTATAGCTATGCACCCTCGCCTTCGGAAGAGGCAGTGGTCTGAGTGGCATGGTGTCATTGGCGAAAGACGGAACGGGTACTTACTGAGTCAATCAATGTGTCTTTTATGTGACTAAACTCATTCTTCAGATAGTCTGTGTATCTTATCTGCCCAGCCTGACAACAGTAAGCTCCTTAAGAACAAGGACCAAATCTTTTACTTGTTTTATATTTTCAAGAATACCCAGCCCTGAGCCAGGTACACAGTCAAGTCTATAATATATGCTTGAATTCATTAGAATGCCACTAGTACATAACTGGTATAAATTTTTCTGCAACTTAAACTCCAAGAATGCAGCTTACATTAACAGGGAGAAATTGAGCTCTATACAAATAGATACAAGCAACTCATTTTTAATAAACAGAAATAGCAGATTTAATGTTATTAATGTGTTAAATAATAATCAATAGAATTTTATGAGCACATTTTCCTGAAAATGTGTTCAAATTTCCATGCAAATGGAAAATAAATCACATTTTAGCTTGAAAATATTAAAGCTATTATATGCTTTCATTATGCTTCTGTTAAAACAAAAACATACCACAAACCCCAATGTCTCTCATTAAGAAAAATGTGGATATTTTCATTCCAGATACCTATTATCTATTACAGTAATTTATCTATCCCAACCAATATGCTTTTAACAAGAAGATCTCCTGCCACATACCCAGAAAGCAAAGGTACCAAAAATCAGAATATGTATTTTGATAATAATTAAACCTTGAAAACTAGATTTATAAACTCTTAGGAAAAGATCATATAAAAACCAAATGCTACGTTTCTTAATTCATAAATAATTTTATTTAATTATATACACAATTAACAGAGAAAAATACCAAGCCACAACATATTTTTAACAAACTAGAAGACCTAAGATTAAAAGTACATAACAATAAAAATAAATAAAGACGATCAGATTATCATAGCCTTTCAATAGTTATTTATTCCAATCTGATCCTTACACTGTACCCTAACAGTAAATATACAACAAAAGATCTGATGAGCTTGGCGATCGTCTCTAAATCTAAATCAAAGTACTACCACTGAACAGACAGTATAAACTTACCAGCTCCACAGATCCATAATGTTTCCTACTGAAATCCCCACGTCTACAGCCTAGGTCTTCCGAGACAGAGCTGGAACAAAAATGCTTCATCAGTATTATACATAGCGATCTGGCCACAAACCTTCTGCAAAAATCAACTACCATTTGCAAAAAGGGCTGCTATGGAACAGGCTTGCAGTGCCCCAGCTCCTCACTGCAGGGGAGCCTCCTTGCAACAGACACAGTCCCCAGCAGCCATTGCAGAGCCTGGCTTTCATGGAGCCCTCAGCAAAATGCAAAACGCCAGAGTCATCCCTGCAAGTATAGGCAATGATTGAATTAAATATTTAGTCATTTGGAATCGATTGAGATTTCCAAGGCTACTGGTGGTTTATAATTTCATTTCTGTATAACCAAAGGGGAGAGAAGCCCTGCAGTAAACTTGAGGCAAGGGACAAAGCTGCTGAACCAGATCTTGCAATTATCTTTCGCTTAAGAGAGCTTCTTTGTCCGAAATAGACAACATAAAAATAACCAGCATTATTTAATGCTATATTTTAAGTAGGAGAAAGAAACTTCACAATCCTGGTAGGCCCCATCCCCTCTTTATTTTAAGATTTTTATGTGGTAATATGAAAAAAGACCAGGTCTAACAGAAAATCTAATGTCCAAGTATATTTAGTTTTTTACATAGCAGCAGTTAATACTCCCTACTCCCTGAAAAAAAAGGCTAAATCAAACCCAAAAAATCACATGCGTTGTCAAACAGCAATTAAAACAAGGACAAAATTGTTGCTACATTTTCGTCCTGAATTTATAGTTACACACACAAAAGGCACATATCTTATTAGCTAGTTAGTATATTTAGCACCCCAAGCAGTATTTATGAAACCACCAGAGATCTGCAAAATACAGTTTTAATAAGTTTGGTTCTAATAGATCATGCAAATAACTCTGATAAAACACAGAAAATAAAATTATACATGGAATTACATATGTAATATATTCAAAGTATTTGGGATCTAACATGCAAAGACAGGTGCATTTAGTACCTTTTCATCCTTCCTTAAAAGGTAGGCTGCATTTTAAAATTACAGCCCTCTTGGCACATGCAGAAAGAGACTGACTCTGATGTTTAGCAACCACAGAACTGATTCTCTGCCAGGACACTGTTTGACAGGCTCCAAGAAAGACAGCATGAGAGAAATGAGATTAGAGAGTCTAATGGTATTCTGTTTCCACCATTTCACAGAGATGGCTGAATTAATCTTATATGAGAAGTTTAACCTTTTGTAGTCCTCCCTCATTTAGCCGAAAGTGGGCAACAAATCAATGCATGCAGTTTGGAAAGATATTACCCAGACTACTTGCTTGCTTCTAGTGACTTGATTTTTTTATCCAAAAAGCTCTGAAAAAGAATAAGAAACTTCCCTTCAAGGTCTATTCCAGTCTGTGTTAAATATGTCCTCTATGCCCACTTTCATAGCTCATTTTGAAAACCCTCCTGGAGGCTACTGCCATTGCCCTACATATCAGTGGCCAAGCCTATATATCACTGGCCACTCCAGTGAGAGGAGCACCCGTGCACCAGGACAGCGATCAAGCACAGAGCAGATGCCCAGTGGCTGTTGACTGAATAATCTGTCTGCCCAGATCTCAACCTGCTGCTTTAGTTCAGTCAGGCCCACTAGGAAATCAGCAACAGTGACAACAACAGCTTCTAACACAAAAGACCAATAATGCAAAAGAGGGAGAATGGGGACCTGGGCCCCTCCCTGCACTGCTATCAGCACTGCTAGAGGCTTCTAAGACAAAGTGTCAGTTCCCTAACATTGTCAACAGTCAGAAACAAACACAAAAATAATGACAATCTCATATCCTGGAGCCACAACCTTCCTTAGATGCCTCACAGAGGGGAAAAAAAAAAACATCCTATGAAAACAAGCAGGGAGTTATAATGGGAATGGCTGCTATCTGTTGTTGCTTTCCACATCAACTCCCCCCCCCCAATAAAATTACATGTCAATAAAATACAATGCAGAGTGAAAGCTTGCTAATGGTGAGAATCAGGCTGAACCATATGGGGTGCATTTCTTGGGTTGCTGGAAGCAATCAAAATTAGCCATGTTAAAAATCGCTCTCTACTTTCCCCCTGCCTCCCTAGGCTCTCTGGCCGCTATAACCCCAGCATAAAGGTTACAAATGGAGGGGATCACCCAGAGCTCTAAGAGGAGCTTTGTTCTCCTCCCAAGCTCCAGTGCCTGGCACAGAGTGAACAAGCAGTAAATGCTTCTTGCATTAATGAAGGTATCTACACATCTTTTGGATCACACTAGCTAATGCCTGGCAGCAGCCCTTGTAAACACCAGGGCAAGCTGCCAGTTGCCATCCCCCACAATGAGCCACTGGTCTTTATTTCCTCAGTCCAGGCAGTCCTGATCCATGAAGTAGATATTGCTAAGTGCAAGCCAAAACCCATTCTCCTTTCCTCTTAGGCTTGCCAGTGGACTACATTTCCCAGCCCTCTTGCAGTACATGTGACCATATGACTGAGCTCTGACCAAGACAATATGGGCAGAAGTGATGTCTACCACCTCCAGGCACATACCCTGGGAGGTGCTTGATCTGCCCCCCTGGACCACAATTGTGAGAGACTATAGGAACACACAAGAGGGAGGAGCTTCAAAATGGAAAACCTAAGTCCCTGAATGACCAAATCAAAGGCCACACCACCAAGAACATCTGTATTAGAATATAAGTGAGAAATAAATATTTAGCTGTGTTAATCAGGTAGAGTTAGATTTACCTGCTAAAGTCACTTCAGTTTCATCCAGGCTCACTAGGAAATCAACAGTAGCAGCAGCTGTTAGTTACCTGAACTCATACAGAAGTAGGTGTTTTGCAGTGGAGTGCCACCATGAATTATGTGGTGTGGGCTTAGTGGACAGGCAGCAGCCAGTGAGGACATTGATCTCAGAGACTGGAAAGATGGAGATCTATGTTGTAAAGAAGAAAATATTTGGTACAACACCTATAGGCATTCATAAGGTGGACCATGTACCTTTTGAACCTGAGCTCCAAAGAAGCGTGACTAGAAAGAATCAGTGAAGTTGTGCCCTGGCTGCTATTGGCTGAAACTAGCAAAGTTCTTTACAAGGAAGAGATGAATTCAGGAAAGAAATGGATGGGTTTCAGGCAAAGATCAAAGTAATTTAAAAAAATCCAGAGACCAAGGCCCTCACAGGATTAAGAAACCACTCTGTTTCTGAACCCTTAAAAATAAGATCTCTGACAAATGACATGTCGGTCGAAATGATGGACACCTCTTCCAAACTAAGCCCATAAAAACTTTCCCTGAATAATCCTTGGTTTCTTGTCTCATCCACTGGCCTCTGAGGACCAAGAGTGATGAAGCCACACCATGAAGGAGCCTTGGTCTTCAATGACCACATAGGGGATTCCAACTAGAAGCACCCTCACTGAACTGTGATATGAATGAAAAGTAACTCTTACTGTCTTAAGTCACTATGAGTCAGGGTTTATCTTAACAACAGGTAATTTTATCTTAATTGATACCATAAGTAACAGAAAGTAGTATACAAATAATTTCCACAAAAAGGGGTTGGCAGAGGGCTGGTGGATCAGGAAGATTCTAGATCAGGGGCTGGCAAGCTACAGCCCAATCCAGCCCACTGTTTGTCTTTGAAAACAAAGTTTTATTGGAACATAGCCACACCCATTAGTTACAGACTGTCTGCTTTTGCATTATAAGGTGCAAAGATGAGTAGCTCCAAAAAAGATCCATAAGGCCCACAAAGCCCAAACTGTTTACAAACAGGCCCTTTATAGAAAAAACATGCCATTACCTGCAGGATATACTCTCCTAAATGTCTACTGTTGGTTTCAGGTCTACCTACAAACTATGATTAGCATGTCAATGAGAATACTCAGTGTTTCTCAGATTTTAGCATCCATCAGAATCCTTCAGGAGCTTTGCAAAAATGCAGATTCCTTGGTCCTATTCCAGAGGTTTGTGATTCAGTACATCTGTGCTTTTAATAAGCATTCAGAGGAATCTCAATGTCCAAAGACAATGCTTTCAAACATACTGCTCATCTGGAATACCCGGGAAACCTGTGAACCATTCTGCAGCACTCTTTCTTTTTTTTTTTTGGAGACAGCAAGGTCTCACTCTATCACCCAAGGCTGGAGTGCAATGGCATGATCACAGCTCACCGCAGCCTTGACCTCCTGGGCTCAAGTGATCCTCCCATGTCTGCCTCCCAAATAGCTGTGACTACAGATGTGCGCCACCATGTCCAGCTAATTTTTTTTTTTTGTAGAGACAAGGTTTGCTATGTCACCCAGTCTGGTCTCGAACTCCTGAGCTCAAGCAATTTTCCCACCTTAGCCTCCCAAAGTGCTGGGTTTACAAGCATGAGCCACCACACCTGACCTCATCCTACATTACTTTTACAAGGAAGGACAAAGACAAGGATTCTACTGGAGGAAGTAGGCACAATGTGGTCCTTCAGAGCATGTTCTTCAGTCACAGACAAGGGTTCTCAACCTTTCTGGGCATTAGTTCTCTAACCTATACAATGCAGTTGAAAATATCACCTACTAACAGAAGAAATATATAAGAAAAATCAGGTCAAGTTCTAAGTATAATGTCTACCATATGACTATTACTCAATAAAAGTTGTTACTATTGCTCTTATTATTAATATGAGTACCTCTCAGGTTTTTAGAGAGAGAGATCTGGGAAGGGGAGTTTGGCATAAATGAAATAATTTTTAAAGAATTTTAAAATGCCTTTTCCGCCCTGCAACAGTAAGAGAGACCCAGGGACAGGCAGCAGGCTTCCCAGGGCAAGGCTGAGGGAAGCACTGCAGTTTAGCATGACATCTCCCTAAAAGTGTTGGCCTGGAAGTGTGACCTCACCTAGAAAATATTTGGGACCCATTGTTGTCATGGCAGGGGAAGAGACATTTGAAATCTGGTTAGAGCATGTCACCAGAACAAGGCAGGTGCCAAAAAGAACCAGGAACTTCAAGATTCTACATGAAACGTGGTCCAGCCTCAATATAT